TCCCTTCTTTGGGATTGGGATGTAGACTGATCTTTTCCAGTCCTCTGGCCACTGCTGAGTTTTCCATTGATGATGATAAAAAAAGCACACTGGTCCTTTGATATTGGGCTGTGACACCAGGGTAGGTGACATGACCTTTAGCCTGGTTTGTTCCTTTTTGCACACCACACATAGAATGATTAAAGTGGTAGGGAAAGCCTCCCCTCCCCAATTCTGCATTAGTTGTCTCTAGCAAGCATGTCATTGCTAGCACCACCCTGGCAGCCATTGATGATGATTAAATCCTCTGCGAGCTAGCAAAAATTTAATGCAACTTGCTAGGAACGTTGGACACCTTACTACTCCCTATACCACACCATGGCTGGAGTGCAATATGTTCCAGCAAAAACAGTGCACATCTTTATCAAATTTGGTGCATCCTGCTAGTTCGGTACACAGCCTGTGTAGATTCAATAATATTTTTAATTCAAACAATGTATGATTTCCTTCCTTTCGAATCAAGGGGGAAATGTTGGCGTATATAAATTTTTTGGGCGGTAAAATGTAAAAAAGTCTGACCCTTGACTTAATTTATGTGTTCCTCTGATTTATGTGAAGCTTTTATATAGTGCTTTCTTTATTTTTCTGATACGTGTTTATTAATTAAAAAGCTGGAAGGAACCCCTGAAGTAATGAATAATTAAACTTTTAAATATTTTGGTATTTCAGAAAGTTCTGCAATTGAGTTTGCGTTTTCAGATTGATAGGCCTATAGCAGCTAGCAAGAACATTCTCCTGATGTAGGGAATACATATTTAACTGTGACTACAGGAGTTATTTATAGAACATGCTGCATTTCTTTCATATAAACATATGATGAGCATTTTGCTGAGGAAAAAAAAACTGCTGTGCCTTTCAGTATTTAGAGTCAGTTCATCACCCACCTAAAATTAAAAAGTGAAGTCAGACAGTTCTTGTATTCTATTTTTAATCCTTGCTAAAGTATGTGAATATGAATGCAGAATCTTTCTTTAGGATCCTATTAATTCAATTATCCACTTATTCAAAACATTCTCTTCTCATGTTACTGTAGTGGGGCAGTGTAAACTAATATTATGAGTTTACTAAAAAAAAAACCCTCATCATTTAAATAAGTAATTTATTAATCTGACAGTAATATTTTATTATGTTTTGTGGTTAAACAAAATACAGCTGTGTTCTGTATTTTTTTTGTTCTGAAAAGTGGCAGTCTTTTTGTTTGTGTTCTGTAGGCATGTGATCAGAGAGAGAAGGCTGTGGTTATTTGAAAAATGCTTCAACACCTCATGTCTGTCTAAAGGTGTGTTGCGTTCTGCTCAAATTGATAACACTTGCTGTGCTGAGCTTACTCACATGAAGAGATAAGGTGTCTCATATTCAGAATGTATTGAACTATTCCTCTGTGCATGATGATGGTAATCTTTTGTGAAATGTGTGCTACCCAATAGGTGCAGTTGATAAACAGAAATCGATTTAGAAAAGGGTTAGCAATGAATACAGGAAAGATCATAATCATAAAAAAGATATAGTTACAAATGGGGATTTCTGTTTTGTGAAGCAGCAAGAATAGTTTTATAATTTTGTAATTTGTAGAAATGAATTTTTTCAAAATTCAGGATGAATTTAGTAGCCCCACTGAGGACACAGGAGCCCCAGCCCAAACTAAGATGCATCCACCCTCTTCAAGTCAGATGCTGGGCAGCTGCAGTAGCTGAGGGTGACACTGCTGGAGTGACAGTCAAACTAGTTTTTGTTAGTACAGTGGCGTCTTGACTTACGAATGGCTCGACATACGAACGTTTTGACTTACGAACCGCTCTCATAGGAATATATGGACTCGACTTACGAACTTAGATTCGAGTTACGAACTCTTTTTTCCCCTTTTTTTAAAAGCTAAGTCATCTTAGGTTAAAAGGAAAAAAGAAAAAATATCCCCCTCTAGTGGCAGAAGGCGGAATAGCAGCTTCCCATTAGTTTCTATGGACGAAAAGAGCAGATACAGATTAAATGGTTTTCAATGCATTCCTATGGGAAATGCAGATTCGACTTAAGAACTTTTCGACCTGAGAACTGCCTTCCAATACGGATTAAGTTTGTAAGTCAAGACCCCACTGTACTCCACAGTACATGACACTGATAAATCCCTGTTGAAATTTCCTTACTATGAAAGACCTATGAGGAGACAGTCCAAAATGAAACGAGATAGTGCTAGAATATGAGACTCCTATGTTGGAAAGCATCCATTCAGTCAGCTACTAGGGAAGAGCAAAGGTTAAGTACAAATAGGATAAGTACAAATGATGCAACTATATTAAAGCCGAAAGGACTTCTAGTGGCTGATATACACAGAAATGAAAGGAGAATCCAAAGCTTTATAACACATACTGTACAAGTAAAACATGGAATGTG